AAAATGTAATATAGGTTTTTTTAACTAACTTACTCATTAAGCAAGTGGATCTCATATATATATATATATATATATAATGATGAAAAAATATTATATTCGTAACTTTTTACTATAATAAGATTCATAAATTAATATTAATTAAGAGTCATAAAGTGGTTGAATGGTTATGATGAATAACCTAAGGACTTGATTGATAAAGAAGTTGATGGTTGAAATCTCATCCACCATGAGATTGTATTAAACATTAGGGATGACAATATGGGGTTGGCCCGACGGGCCAGTCCGTTTTGATCGGCATATTTTGGTGGGTCGGACTGGAGATTTTAGCCCAAAAGCATATATTCAACCCGGTTTGGAAGCTCGTTTTTTAGATGGGTCACGGCGGGCCGGACCGGGCTAGCCTGACGGACCAACATTAATATTGTTTTACTGTTTTAAGGTTATATGTAATTCCAATAACGTAATCAATTTAATATTGTTTTCCAACCGTGCATTTTACACATACCGTGTGCAACCAATTTATTATTCATATATAACACATTTATGAGTAAATTACTTATCAATGTAATTTGTATCATATACAATACAAAACATTTACATATTAGTGTTTAATTTATATCATATATCATATTTTGTTTAACATAATTACATTTATCATGTTTTTGTTTAAAAAATTACATCTATCATACATAGTTTATCAATGTAATGTATGTTTATAAATTAAGGGTTTTTTTGTAAGTGTAGAAAATGGAAGGATAATTTGTGTAATTTCACTAAAAAATGGGTCAGCCTGTTGGCCTGCTAGCCCTACCAAATATGGGTCGGACTGACATTTTGAACCCTTTTCACAATAAGGGTCGGACCAAACCAACCCATATTTTGGTGGGCCAAAGGCGGGCCGGACCGTTTTGTCACCTCTAATAAACACATGCAAGATGGCAATAATAAATATTCAATATTCACTAAATAAAAGACTAAATAATAAATAATTGTCATTTCCATATTAATTCTTAAAAATAAATCCTAATTTGTAACTTTTAAATAATATTATGGCGATAAATTAAATTCTATTGAAAATGCAAATAATATTATAGCAATAAATTCAATTATGTTGCAATGTATCAAATATTAATTTATTCTTTATACATTGTTATATGATAATAGCAATGTTGTTGTGACCGGACCGGACCGGCCGATCTAACCAGTCCAACCGTCACCCGCTTGAGTAAACGGTCCTGTACATGTAGAAAACCGGAATTGGTTTCCAGCCGTTTTGGGCCGTGAAAAATCCGGTCCAACCGGGTTAGACCGGGTAAAATCGGAATAACCCGGTTGGTTAAACCGACCGGGTTGGTAAAAAAAAAAAACAAAAGTAATGGCGAGTCACTATCATCTTCACGGTTTATGAAGGGAAAATAGAAAGGAAAACAATGGTGAATAAGGTTAGGCATACCTTTCTTAGCATAAACCGAGGTGGAAGGAAACCGAATGGAGAAGAGAAGCCACAACAGGGAGGATGATCTTACCCTTCTCAGTCACCGCAAACCGTTTCCGCCACCGTCGGGAGAAAACCGGGGAGAAACCGTGATTCGCTCCTCGGCACCACCTTCGTTTCTCTCTTCTTCTCACGTTTCTCTCTAAACCTCTCAATCCCAAATGAATGAAAACCAAAGAAACCCCCTCCCAACCTGATTCATCTTTGTGGGCTTTCGGCCCACATATCCTTTTTGTTGTTTTGTATTATTTATCATCTTTTATTTTATAATTAGGATAACAACATTTTAAGTTAGTGTTAAATTCTATACCTCTTTTAATTAATTATATAATATATGTATATATATAATTATATATGATATTATATTGTCGTCCGGGTTAGAACCTATACAAGACCTCCTCCAGTTTGACGTCTGATTCGGGTTTCACAACATTGGATAATAGTATTTCTTTATATGTCAGAAGTCAGAACCGCAACTTTTAGGTCAAAGTTTGCAAAACTAGTTTTATTTTTTAATTATTTTCTTATTACACCCAACAATACATCTCGAAATAAGAAATCCTAAAGAATTTGGGTTAACCTATATAACTAAAAAATTATGTTTTATGCAATGTTGTTGTGACCGGACCGGACCGGCCGGTCCAACCAGTCCAACCGTCACCCGCTTGAGTAAACGGTCCTGTACATGTAGAAAACGGAATTGGTTTCCAGCCGTTTTGGGCCGTGGAAAATCCGGTCCAACCGGGTTAGACCGGGTAAAACCGGAATAACCCGGTTGGTTAAACTGGCCGGGTTGGTAAAATTAAATAATAAAAAATGTAAAAAAATGCACATATCTGATGCTTTTAATATGCTGTAATCGATTACGAGTATATTGTAATCGATTACATCATGTAAAATGCACATGTCTGATTAGTTTATCAGCATGTAATCGATTACCAGGATTGTGTAATCGATTACACTGTTTAAAAATGCAAATGATCTTAGTTTCATGCATGAGTTTTTCAAAGATCAGTATTATACATATTTTCTAATTATTATACATATTAATCTAACGTATATTCTAATTTGTAGGTATGGTTGAAGGACAAAATATTACTATTGATGGAGGGCTTAATTTAGATTCTTTTCCTCAAGAAGATGTAGATAGTTACACTCAAAGTACATCTTTAACCAACAATGTAAACTTAGGATCTAACCAAGACAATGATACATGGATGAATTAGAATGTTTACTCTCTAAATGAGATGTGTTTTTATTTATTGCTCTAATTATGTAAGACTTAAACTTTGATGCACTTTTATTTTGATTTATGTGTAAGCTTTGTGCAAAGTTATTCACTTATTTTAATTAATTATATAATATATGTATATATATAATTATATATGATATTATATTGTCGTCCGGTCCGACCGGACGGCTTAACCGGTTAAACCAGTTAGAACCTATACAAGACCTCCTCCGGTTTGACGTCCGGCTCGGGCTTCACAACATTAGTTTTATGTATGTCAATTTATACTACAAATCCGCTATAAGCACGTTACAGGTTGATGTAGGCTGGCCATGTTAGCATTAAAAAAATTATTTGAGTTTTAATTGTTTTTAGACTCTTTATATACGTGTGTGGAATTTAATATTAATGAGTAATTTTTGTAACACATTTACTTTGTTTTATGTTTTATAAAAAGCGTATTAGGAAAGTGTATTGCTATATATAAGCAATATCACAAATCTAGTTTTGTAAGTTTATAAAGTTGTCCACACAAATTATAAGTCAAAATGGTAATTTTAACATCCTTGCATGAGGATGAGTGGATGACAACCATGATGCACTCCTAAGACTGACCAATAGATACTCGTCTGAATCCAACTTAAATTTATTAGGGAAAATACAATGTGATTATACTCGAGTTTTATCCGAATTCAACTTTCAGGTTCGGGTTTGGTGTTTTGAAACCTTACTCCACACACATACACATATATATATATTATAAAATTTGTATATAAATACATGTTTCACGCAGATTTTTGTCGGGTTCAGGTTATCCGAAAATTGACAGATTTATGGATGATAACAATGTTTTCAACCCCACTTAACTCAAGTTTGAGTTTTGGATTTCAAGTTCGGAGTTGGGTAAGTAAAAACCTAACTCCAATCCACCCCATTATCATTCCTTGATTACTTCAGCTGGTGAAGACTTGTAAGAAAAATAAAATTCGTGAGCACCCAAGGAGTTGTTTGCACTTTGTTACAATCAAAGTTAAGATATATGTTATGCATCAATCAAAGTTAAGCCACTTGCTACCTATGATATAAATGTTAATAGCCAACCTTATCGTTCCATGAAAGGAAAATTGGATAGTTAGAATTAGATTGGATAAGCCCAACCCAAACCCAATTTTAAACTGGCAAGACTTTGAAAGCTTGATGTTACAAAAAGACATATAACTCATGCCCTATGAATTTTTGAGTTTTGGTGTTAGTTTAACAAGTATAAACTATAAGAAAGGATCACATAGTTAAGTTTTAGTTATGATTTTTTAATTAATTAATTGAATTCACATGGGGTATAAGCTTTTAGGAAAACCTTCACTATGAGAAAACATGAAAAATAGTTTTTCCTCGTTTTTGAAAGGCATTATGTGTTTAAATTGGTTTGATAATACGACGAAATATTTTTCTTCTTCTTTATAATATGGGTATAAGTTGAGTGATTCATTAGCTATATCTCTATCTAAGTTTCTTTATTGTATGATTTGATTTTTCCATTCATAATAAGTAGTATTAGAGTTAGTACTTCAAACACGATTAATATTATGGAATAAGGTTATATGTGTATCTATGATAAGGGTCATTTATGAGCTAGCATCAAAAGTCTACATAGCAATATGGAGAATGTGTTATGTTAGAGATGTGGATATCAACAATACAATCATTTGAAAAATCTTTTAAGAGGTGCAAGCACAAACAAGTCCACCTTTAGTTGACGTCATCAAATACTTGAAAATGTTTAAGATTAAAGAGGAGTAATCACATATTGAAGAGTCACATTTAAGAGAAGATAGTTGACAAATTCAATTGATGGTAAGATATGGAATGAAGAGGAGTAATCACATATTGAAGAGTCACATTTAAGAGAAGATAGTTGACAAATTCAATTGATGGTAAGATATGGAATGAAGAACTTATTTAGAATCTGGAACAATATATGGTATTAAACCCACCTTTCTTCATTTTACCTTTTGTTACATATCTCTCTTTGCTTTAGTATCTAATCCATCCAATATAATGATTTCATGGATTTTTTTTCTCCATGTGGTGATCCACTCCAATTTCTTTATTCCATGAATGGTATGTTCTCCTAATTTTATACAATCATCAATTTTTTAATCCAATTATATAATATATATGATTGTTTAATAGTGGAGAAATTGATAGTATTTAAATTTTAAACACGTTAAATACAACTATATCTTGAGTTCTATTGTCTCATGACTTGCAATTCTTTTTTGAAGTTTTCTTATCAAATACTCCATTTTGTGTTTTGTTTTGAATAATATCACCAGGCTTCAAATTGCAAGCTAATGGGCCAGTGTTCTGGGTTAAAGCCCAACAGATACACATGTTATTTGCTAGGGTTACTCTGCATATAAATATCTACAACTTCCCTTCATTACAACCTTGTTTCTCAGCAGCCATTTTCATCTATTAGCTTTTTGACATTTGAGGTGAAAAAGGATACTGGTCTTGATTCTTGAACACCATGAGAGCGAAGGTGTGATACATTGCGTCATTATTTTACCTATTTCATTTAATATTATTGAATTTGAGTTCTTATTGTTACTGTGATTTGTTATGTGTAGTGGAAGAAGAAGCGTATGAGGAGGCTTAAGAGGAAGCGCCGAAAGATGAGACAGAGATCCAAGTAGTTTTTACATTTTTGTTTATGTTTTCAATCTAGACATTCAGAAATTTGTAGTACTTTATCGGTTTCATCTAGTTTATGATTTTCTGTTGATCTTATTTTAGATGAAAACAATGTCATACATTTGCGAATCAATGCTCTTCTATTTGACATTTATGGTTTTTTTTCGTTAACTCTTTCTCCTTAATGTTGTTGTGGTAATTCTTGGGTTGATTTGAATTATGTATTCTACACGTTCCACGGTAATATTGATAATCTGAATTTCTTAGATCTATAGACTTAATCCACATTCATTTGTTCTGTCTGATTCACTATCTTATTCATTATTATTAACTCTTAAATAAAAAGGAATACAAATGAATATATTATACTATTGTATTGTTTTATGCTCAATTAAACATGGACGGATTAAGTTTGAAAGTTTCCCAAGTGTAATGTGAAGACTATATTTGTTTGTAATAAAAGTTGTATTCTATGTTAGTACTAGGGTACTCAATCCAAAGAAAGAGTTAACATTAAGGCTTTTTTGTTCTATAATTAAAGGCGTTTTGTTCCTCCGTCCTATTTCCTCAACCTTGAACATGAAATCCTGTACTTGAACCGGAATGTCAGTTAAAAAATACTACTGTATATGTCCCTCGAGTTTTGGGTAAATCCAAACCTTATCAAATCGAAGTCTCGAGGGGCGTGTTTATGGATGTTATTACTAGGGATGATAATGAGGCAACTTGGGATTGAGTTTGTGTTCACCCAACTTTGAACACGAAATCTTCTAGTCCAAAGTCAATTGCATCACAGTTAAAAAATACTACCATCTGCCTCCTCGAGTTTGAGTAATTTGAAACTGTATCGAGTCTGTATGAAACCTTCCCCTTATCATTTACTTTTATGGATCTCTTCCTTGTTAGTATTATACAAATGTTATTTTTGTATTTAGGGTAATTTTATAATTTGCCATTTATTATTTAAATTGGGTTTGGATCAGGTTCAGGTTCGGGACAGAGAATCACCCAAAACTGTAACTTGAACCATGTATTTGAACTAAGGGAATACTCAAACCTAACACTTGAAATCATGGTATTTCTGATCTGAGTACTTGAAATCTGGGAAAAACCTGAATGCAACCATAGTGATTTGATCCCATTCACGAATATAAAAAATGTGTCATACCATCCATGAATATAAAAATGTGCCAAACATTAACAAAGGAAGGAAAAGTCCTAAAGAGAAGTTGGCTGGTTGGATTTCAAAATTCCAACTTAACCGTACGGAAACCAAGGTAAGGAGACATTTTCAAATTTCCCTAGAGGATTGCTAATTTGCTACTATGTCATAGACGCAAGATATTGTTGACTATGCGATAAAGTAAACTATCAGAAAGGTGCTTCAAATATCCTAATATGCAAAATTTGGACGTGATCTTTTACTGTCTCAACTCAATCATAAAATTTACAAACACAATTATGTGAAGCATAATAATTTAAATTTTATAGATGAGGCACCGATTTGAATAAATTTAGGTGTGTGGGTGAGACAGTGTAACCTGTTTTGCTATATACATCTGAAGCGCTCATCCTAGCAGCCACAAGAACGTAGCTGTATGAAGATGGCTAGCCGTTGCGAATCGCGATGCAACACAATGCCAGTTGTGGAAGCCATGATTGCTTGATTGTCACATATGTATCCGATGTTGCAAAGAAATACACAAAAATGCTTGATTGTCACAAATGAATCCGATGTTGCAAAGAAATACACACTTTTTTCCTATTTAGAAGTCACGTGTATCAATATATAATATACTTATTCTAACTTTATATACACCATGAGGCATAAGATAATAATATTCAATCGCATTCACCAAAACATGTGGTATTCCATTAGGTGTCAAAAAACTACCTTGATCAGTTATTTTTCCACTCTATCACTGTTTTATCTCGCTCAAGTTTCTATATTGGAATTATTCAATGGACTTCATCATATGCTTTGCCTTGTTTCTTCTATGTTTTTTTCTTCTCTTTTAACTTGAGGCACAAAACCAACACTTCTTTTTCTGCCAAATGAACTCACTCTATATTTGATAGCTATATAAATGTTGAAAATGATAACAAATCATTTCACCTAAGAAGAAAATAACCAAAGACTTCATACTAAATTATTGTAAGCAATGTGAAGGCAAGAAGAACCTCTGCCTCTTACTTCTAGTAGGATAATTTGATGCTGTAGATAGTGAAGCAATTTTGTTCACAGCTGATTTAAGGGATTGTTTGAGAGTTGTAAGGCAAACACTACCCTCTTCACTATCCCTTAAGCAAAGCACCAATATGCTTTTGATTCTGCCGCCGGAACTCGCTATGTCGGCTTTAACTGTCGTGAGTCTCAACCCTTTGAGGACTTGGATGAGTTCAGAGAACAGTTCCGGTCGATCGTCGCAACAAACAGAAGCTTTGATGGTAACATTATCTTTGAATATGTTTACCTTAGTGTAGCTTTCATCTTGAGCATCAGGGTAATAGTCAATTGTTACTTCATCAATTTCAGTTGGAACTGTAATGGCTTTGCTCATATCCATGGCTTTTCGCTTTAGATCTTTAACATGCTCTACAACACTCCCTAGTAATGCTGCTTTGTCCATCTGCAACCACACAAAGTTTATCATACAATGGAATTGAAATTCTTGTGACACTGTCATACAACCTAGTAGTAAAGCTATTCATAGTATATAATTGAAATGCCATAAAGTTACAATGGATCAAATCTGAAAGTTTTTTCTTTTTTGATGTTCAGAAAAAACTCCATGCCTTAAATAGTATATATATACTTGATAGGACTAACTATGCCACTTACTAAATGATCTATGTGATGAAAATTCTTTACCTTATCAGACTTTGGAATCAGTTTTCTGAGGGTTGCAAGCTGTGCATTGATCCTGTCCCTGCGCCTTTTCTCGGCTTGGCTGTGGTTATTGGAAGCACTTGCAGCTCTATGTTCTGCAGCCTCTTCAATTGGTAAAGGCCATGAAAGGTACTCACTAGATTGAAGAAAGTCAGAGGCATGAGGCATTGTTTGTGTTGGGACTAAAAGAGGAGATTGATCACTATTTGGTGCAGAATTGCATTGAGTATTTTGAGTCCAATTGGTACATAAAGGCCAACCAGAATTGTAGTAACTTTCCATATTCACAATAGAAATCATTCTGAAGTTTCTCCCTGGCTTTCTTAGCTTTTTATCTCATACTCAGTGCTACTGTTTTCTTAATGGTGATTTTCTTCTTATCTTGATAATGATTGATGTGATATACAATAATGAATAACCTTTAATTTGTCAAATGAAAATCATTTTGGCTGTATCTGACAGTCACTTCAGCAAGAAAAATCTCCCCACTTATACCACCTTGCCAACTAAGGTTTTGTAAAGAATCTGAAGCTTAAGCAGGGAAAAAAATAATGCATAGGCCTAATAGACTTATCCTAATTTGTATCCTTGTAGACTAAGATAGCAACAGGGGAGCGGGTAATTCCATTATTACCGGGTATGGGAAGAATGAAGAGGTATAAATGATACATTACGTCTTGAACCAAAACCTTAAACAATTAGTTTTATGACTTTTTTCTAGTTATAAATTCTTTTACTCCTACCCACATATCCAATGTGAGACTTCACACTTAAATAAAACCAATAAATGAATCAAATAAGCTTGGGAATCACTTCTGGAAGTGACATTGTAACAGTGATAGATATACTGGGTGATGATCAGTATCTTATTCTTCTATGGATGATCACAGTATTTTGTTTGTTTTGTTGGGAATTATAACCACTTGGGCTCTCTTTGTGTATTATAGAGTCTTGATTCTAATTGTATTTATCTTGAACTTTAATGTCATAATCTTAAATGTTGAATATGTAAAAGATTTTATTCTTTCAAGAGTAAAACACTTTAGCATGAAGTTTTATGTTAAAATAAAAATCTTCCTATTTCTTATATGTGTGGTGGTTAATAAAAAAAGATGTGTGGTGGACCTAGTCCATTTAATATACTTCAATAACAATTTTTGCACCACTTTTTTATATCTTTCTCACAACCATAAAAAAATGGTGCAAATTTCATTGTTACTCAATTTTTGTACTGATATATTATTACTTTGGTAAGGACTTCCATGCTTACTTTCAATTTGGTAGAACTAATTCAGTCTTTGCCAAGTGACAATAATAGAAAAGGTGTGGAAAGAAAACAAACACACAATCACAAACCTAAGATTTGCTCAAACAATTAGATAAATGCATGACACAACTAAATTGCTAAATAGATTGTCCTTCAAGATTTAAGATACCTAGTGAACCCATTGTACTAATCTCAGCATATATTAGACAAACAAGTGCAGGGACGGTGCTACTTTAGTGTGAGGGTGTCCAAATGCACACCCTGCATATTTATAAACTCTACTAGCTCCAATTTTTTTTTTTTTTTTGTAAACAATATGACACTCTTTAGTGAAAAACAAAGAATTATCATCATGTTGAATTATTTTATAACAATTTCATATTCGTTTGTTCCATACAAATCCACAATTGCTTGTTTGTATGTTTTATTCGAGTCTAGTCGATTTCTTCTCTAATTTTGATATAGCAAAGGTTATTGAATTTGAAAAGTTTTATCCATAAGGTTTTTGTTCAACTGAATTGATGATGTTTTTTTTGAAATGAATCAATAACCTTTTAAATAAGTTGGTTAAAAGTTAAAGATACATTATTTATCCATTAGTTTATCTCAATACAACTATACAAAGAGTTTTTCAATTATGAAAATTATGAAAAATAGGTTATGTAATTGAATGAGAGATACATAAATGAATGATTGTCTAATGACTTATACTTAGCGAGAAGCGTTCAACAACATTGACAACAGACTAACCATTGAATGATTTCAAAAATGTGAAATCACATATAGATTAATTATGAAATAAATAGTTTATTTGATTAAATATATTAAAATTTGTAACTTTCACATTAATATTTTAATTTTTATAATTAATAATATATATTATTTTAATTTTTAACATTAAATCCTAGATCCGTGAATGAGCAAGTGGACTAGTCCAATGGTATATGCTTCCAAAACAAAGGTTGGTTTCCTTCATGTATATCTTAAATGGAAGGTGCAAGTTTAAAGAAGGCCACTCAATAAAAGTGGCTTATTTTGTACACTTTAATGGTACTAAGATAGAAAAAGCTCACTTATTGTGTCTCAAGCACAAGCTAGCAAACAAAA